AAGCCGTTCCTCTTTCGATTGCTCAAATACCTCCCACCAAAATGAATTATTTCCATGTAATAAAATAGCCCTTATGGTCTCATAAGTGTAAATATCTTTAGGATAGCGTAGTTTAAAGCGCTGGCGACTAATGGACATGATGGAAGTTCAGAAAAAAAAGTATTATGATAGTAGATATATTCAATTTGTAAGTATGATCTTGTGTTAAAGGATTCCAATTTTGAGCTGCTAGGCTTGGCAAATTTATAGGAATTTATTATTTATCTTTTTGGGTCCTTTAATCTGTCACAGTTGAGGCACATATTGGTCGTGTAAAAAATATGTTGCCTTGCTGAGATTAATGGGCTGTGTGCGTGGCAATCAAAGCAACAATGAGAATATTATATTATAGGTTATTTATACATCAAGGAGAACATATAAAAGGAGTGGTTGTCATGCAACCAGTAATTGTTCTCCTTGGAAGACATAAATATACTTCATGCCAATATTTTTTTTGGTCTGGACACATATTGTTACGCAGTAAGTTTGACCATCGGTGTCACTGGTCCCTATTAAACTTTGATTGACATCAAAGGACATGTGTATGGTACATCTTTGTATGTCAGTATCCACAACTAGCAATGAAACGGCGTTCACTTGTCTTGAAATGATATACGTACCAATTCGACAGACCAGTATTTAAAATCTGGTGTTTATTTTCTTAATATTACAACAATGGTCATTTGTGAGCGTTTATAAAATTAAAACAATTAATTCACCAAAAAACTGGGGATTTAAGAAATGAGGGATTATAAGGACGTAGAAAAAGAAATAGAAATCAATACGTAGTATTGGTTCTAAAGAATTAGAAACAATTAAAATAATTTAATTGTACAAAAAATTAAAAACATTATTTAAAATGAAGTTAATATAAAATTGCAAAAAAGCTATTATTTATCTTCAACCGAGTTACAATCAGCATCTTCCTTTTTATTTTTCTCGAGCTTTTCGACCTTCTCAACCTCCTCAACCTCCTTGACCTTCTCGACCAATTTTTCCATATCAACTTCCAATGCATCGTCGAGAGTCTTCGCGTATTCTTTTATCTTGGGCAGCGCTGCAACCGCACGTACAACCTTGTGCAGCTCAGGTGCTTCCTCAGGTCCAATGAGCTTATACAGCTCCTCGCTGATGGGCGCCAATATAATCATCAAGCGCTTGATAGTGATCATAAGAGCCACGTCAACGTAAGTAGGGCTAGTGTCAAAGTAAAATCCTCGCAATCCATTGCGCCAGAGCACCAGACTATGTGCCTCGATGAACTGTTTGGCAAATTGTTTAAATTCAAATTCAGTCGTCTCGCGGTGCTCTTCGTTGCAGTATTTAACGCTGCACCCCATTTTAAAAAGGCTGTCGATCTCGTGGCGAAGTTGTGCTTGTTGGCCGATTATAACCGGGTTGTGCTTCTCGGAAAGATTGTACAGGGCTGCCAGGTACGACTCGATACCGAATATTCCGTTGATGATAACCTGGGAGTTATCCGTTTTGAAAATAGTCAAGGTTGTCTCATCATCAAAAGTAACGCAGTATTCGTCTTCTGCAGAAGAAAATGGCTCGTCCCAGCACGCATATCCGCCGTAATGCAATATGGCCCTGCTTGTTTCGTGTGCAAAACCGTTTTCAGGATATCTCAGCTTGTAGCACTGGCAGAGAACAGACATGTCAAATAATTTAGTAAGAATATAATGGAAAATTGTATAATGAAAAATAAAAAAGGGATAAGTCAAAACGTTTGCTCGCAGTGAGCGTTTAAATTTAAAACACTCATCATTTGAAACAAAGCAAGGTTTTGTACAAAAGTTGGGCCAGAGTCGATTTATACTTTTATCATTTGGTTATCAACGCTTGATGTGCATAGCCAATTCTTTTTATGGCAGTAACATCAAAGGCAGAGTTTCATTTATTCAGTTTGATTTCATTTATCCAAAGTTATTTTACTACATGCGAATCATTTTATATAATTGTAATATTCAAAATAAAATTTAAATGTCATTTATTCAAATTTAGCACACATACACATGTATCTCTTCTAACTGAAACCAATCAATAAATTTCAAATTGGATGAATTAGGCAAGTGCGTTATTTGCCATTTTTTTTTAAAAAAAAAAAAAAGTTGTCAACCATGTTGATAAAAAAATATGAAAAGGAAACTATATAAAATTTTTTTGTATGAGTGGATTTTTTATTTATTACATCTTGAGCTTGGTGTCAACATCCTTGGCAATCTCGCCGCCGCTCAGGTAAGTGTCAAGCTGGCCAGACGCAGCCAACAGAAGACCCAAGAAAACAGGCGACGGGTTCAATGGACGAGTAAGGTACTCGGGGTGGTACTGGGCGCCAACAAAGTAAGGGTGGTTCTCGAGCTCCAAGATCTCCATCCGCTCGCCAGTCTCCGCATCCCTGCCAACAAACTTGAGACCCTTCGACTCGAGCTCCTTGACAACCTCAGGGTTAACCTCGTATCTGTGACGGTGGCGCTCATGGACCTCCTCCACACCGCCGTAAAGCTTCTTGGCCTTGGAGTTGCGCGCAAACTCAGTGTCCTGGAACTTGGTCGGGCGGGAGCCCAGACGCATGGTACCGCCCATAGTGGCGCGGTCAATCTCAGGCATAAAAACGACAACAGGGTGCTCGCAGGCCTCGCGGAACTCGGTCGAGTGCGCGTTGGTCATGCCGCAGACATTGCGTGCGAAATCAATAACGGCAACCTGCATACCGAGGCAGATACCGAGGTAGGGGGTGTTGTGCTCGCGCGCCCACTTGGAGGCCAGAACCTTGCCCTCAACACCTCGCTCGCCGAAACCGCCCGGAACAAGAATGCCGTCGGCGGCGCACATGTGCTGCCAAGCCTCATGGTACTTGAGGGGGTCCTTGTGCATGGAGAATTCCTCCAGATCTGAGGCCTCAACCCAGCTGATCTTGACCTTACGGTTGACGTTCAAACCGGCATGCTCCAGCGCCTTGACGACGGAAATGTAGGAATCAGTCAGATAAGTGTACTTGCCGACAACAGCAATGTTGACCACATCGAGGTCGCGCGCACGACGGCGGGCAAACTCGCTCCACTGCACCCACAGGCTCTCGCCCTCGGAGCGCACCTCAGGGGAAAGCTTAAGCTCGTTGAGCTTCAGCCTCTCAGTCAGTACATCAATGATACCCTGCTGGCGCAGGAGGATGGGCACATGGTAGAGACTCTCGCAATCGTGCACGCTGAACACCTGCTTGGGCGAAACCTGGCAGAACATGCTGAGCTTCTCGCGGATGCCCTCCTCGAAGGGGATGGCCGAGCGGCAGGCCAGGATATCGGGGGACAGGCCGAGGCCGCGGAGGTCGCGTACCGACGCCTGCGTCGGCTTCGTCTTCTGTTCACCAACAGCACCAACCACGGGCACCAGGGACACGTGGATAAGGCAGAAGTTATCGTGACCGACACGGAACTGGAACTGCCGCATGGCCTCAATGAACGGGGCGGACTCGATATCACCAACGGTGCCGCCAAGCTCCACAATGCAGACATCCGGCGCGCGGCCGTCCTCGGACGTCGAAACATTGCCGACGCGCTCAACCCAGTCCTGGATCGCATTGGTAATGTGCGGGACAACCTGGACGGTCTTGCCCAGGTAGTCGCCGCGACGCTCCTTGTCAATCACTTCGCGGTAGATCTTGCCTGTCGTAATGTTGTTGTCGCGGGTCAGCTTGACACTCAGGTAGCGCTCATAGTTGCCCAGGTCGAGGTCGACCTCACCTCCATCATCCAAGACGAACACCTCACCGTGGTCCAGAGGGCTCAAGGTGCCGGCGTCAATGTTGAGGTAGGGGTCGATCTTGATCGAGGTCACGTTCAGGCCGAGCGTCTTGAGCAGGAGACCAGTGGACGAGGCAATGATACCCTTGCCGATACCCGAGATCACACCTCCAGAGACGATAATGTACTTTGTCTGCTTAGCGTTGCTGCCCATTTTGTTATTCTATAAGTAGTGCTGCGTATGTGGATGTTCTATGTAAAGGAGAGAAAATAAAAGTACAAACGAACCACGAAAGTAAAAAAAAAATTAGTTTTGGGACAAACAAAAAGTTTTTTTTCATTTTACATGAGACGAGAGGATGGTGGCTGTTTGGACTGATCAAAAAGTACTGGTAGTAGAGCAAAAAAAAAATAATGATCACTAAAAAAACCAGAAATTATTAGATCAGTGATAACCAGAGTCAACAAAAAAATAACAGTCGTCCGTTGTGCTGCATTTTGTGATCAATGTCAACAGTAAGCCACAGCCAACGCAACAACACACATTGGAAATGAGAATTTGTCAATGACAATGCATGCGAGTGTGCGTGTGGGGGTATCGGTATCGGCATTGTTAATCTGGCTCTGTCCTCTTGTGTGAGGAGGAAAAATTAACCAACAAGTAAAACTTTCATGTTGTATTTACCGTATAATGCCCGTCTAAAGGTGTGTGTGAAGAAGACGGGAAGGAATCTTTTGTGGATTTGTTGGCAATTGCACTCATTTTATACTTTTTCCGATTGAATTGGATTTCTGAGGAAAAAATTTTCTCCCCCTTTTTTTTTTGGTCCCACCCCCAAAAATTATTTTATTCAGCCTTTTTTTTGCGGATTGGGTGTGGTCGTCTCCCCCAACCAAAAAAATTCCACATTTCGAATTAGGGCCAGATGAAGTGAGTCAAATAATACGTTGAACATGTGATAAGCATCGATAATTACACAGATCAAATTAGCGATAATCTGCATTGAGATATATTTTGTCAGCACAGCTTTAAAAAATATATTTTCAAGATCGCCAGGAACATAGGGAAAGAAAGACAAAGAAAGCCTCCCTTCGTCTTTCATTTCCCCGCTATATTCAGCTTTGACTTTATACTGCACACAACCAACATTAAAAAACACACACACTTTTATATATATATTTACAATGAGCTTGGAAAAGGAACACGGAAACACACTAGACACGACGATTGACACAGCCGATCTGGACAACACAACGCAGCAGCAGCAGCAGCAACAACAGCCAGAGGAGGAGGAGGATGATGGAAGCATGGAGTCACAGCAAGCACAGGCGTTCAATCCCGAGACAGGCGAGATAAACTGGGATTGCCCCTGCTTGGGTGGAATGGCGCAGGGCACTTGTGGAGAACAGTTCAAGGAGGCGTTCTCTTGTTTCGTGTACTCCGAGGAGGAGCCGAAGGGCATGGATTGTATTGATGCATTCAAGGCCATGCAGCAGTGCTTCCGCGATAATCCCGAGGAATATGGCGCGGAGCTGGGCGATGATGACGACGACGACAACGACGAGGACCAGGATGCGGACGACGGGAACGTTACAGATGCGGAGACAGATATTGATAACAGTACCGATGACGAGCAGGAGAGCAAGTAAGCCCGGAGGTGGGAAAAGTGGCGAGTGGCTGAGAGAAGACAAAACTTGTTGATCTTGAAATAGATTTGTAGTGTGTTCAAAAAAATAGTAAATCAAACTGCCACTGCCTTATTTATTTTTCCAAGCGGCACTTGCGCCTCAGACACCAAAAAAAAATCGTGGGAGCAAAAAAATTTGGTCTACATTATGTCTTTTCCAGCTAGCTCGTTTTCTTCTTTAGATTAACTTTCCTTCCCTTTCTTTTCCCCTCCCTATCATCCAAAAAATAAGAATTTATACAGCACCAACATGGACAGTGCACAGCGGCGACTCAAGGTTCTTCTCGTCGGCACAGGCGCGCTCGGCAGCGTGTATGCCTGGCGGCTGCAAGCCAGCGGAAAAGTAGAAATCACAGCCGTGTGCCGCTCCAACTACGCCGCAGTGCAACAGAACGGGTTCCTGATCCAATCCGCAGCCTTCGGCACGCACACTTACCGGCCAACCAAAATCATCAGCTCGATCAGCAATGCAACGGGCGAAATCTACGACTACGTCATCGTCTGCACCAAGGCGCTGCCCAACCTCGGCGATAACTCGGACATCATCGCACCGGCGGTTTCCCCGTCAACAACCATAGTTCTGATCCAGAATGGAGTTGGTATCGAGGAGCCGTTTGCCAGACGGTATCCGCAGAACCCATTGGGCAGCGCCGTTGCCTACATTGACGCGAGCCAGCCGGAGCAGGGCATCATCAACCACGGGCACATCTCAGCAATGACCCTAGGAACCTACCCGCCGCACTCCGAGCACTCGGCAAGGCTCACAGTCTTATCCGAAATCTGGAACCAGCAGGGAATCCCGTGCACGGTCGTCAATAACGTGCAGGCATTCCGGTGGCTCAAGCTCGTGTGGAACGCATCGTTCAACACTGTGGCGGTGGTTTCGGGCGGCAACGACACGCAGAAGATGCTGGCCGATCAGCGCTGCAAGGCGCTGCTGCGCTGTATTATGCTGGAGGTGTATAGGCTCGGAGAGGCGGTTTTGGGAGAACCTCTGCCCGTGCGTAATGGCGTAGGTGATGCTGATGCGTGGATTGCGGAGACGGAGGGGAGAGAGGTGCCGGTGGTGCCGTCGATGCTGATGGATTTTTGGGCGAAACGGCCGATGGAGCATGATGTCATTTTGGGCAGGCCGATTGCTGTCGCCAGGCAGCTGGGCATCGACGTGCCGCATATGGAATCGGTGTATGCGCTGCTGGTGATGGTCGAGAAGCAGTATCTCTGAACCTGTGTACCTGCGGACCTGTGTACCTGCGGACCTGTGTACCTGCGGACCTGTGGACCTGTGGACCTGTGTACCTGTGGACCTGTGTACCTGTGGACCTGTGGACCTGTGTGCCTGTGGGCCTGTGGACCTGTGTACCTGTGGACCTGTGGACCTGTGGGCCTCTGGACCTCCGACCCTCTGACCCTCCGACCCTCTGACCCTCCGACTCTTTGACCCTCCGACCCTTTGACCCTCAGAGCCTCAGAACCTCCGATCCTCTGACCCTCTGAACCTCTGAACCTCTGAACCTCTGAACCTCTGACCCTCCGACCCTCCGACCCTCTGACCCTCTGAACCTCTGAACCTAGCCCCTGCACCAATATACTTATCATTATTTTCCTTACCTTCATGCTCGGAATAGTGCATGCGTTCATAATAAATAATAGTAACAAAAAGCAATAAAAAGCAGCCATTTTTTCTACAGAGTATAGTAGTGGGGGGGCGTCCCTCCCACTCAAGTAAAGGTTAGTCAAGTTGGCTCAACTCGGTAGAAGCGCTCATCGCATCTGTTTGCCTTTTTCGCAGTTCCAATTTTTGGTTTTCAATTTATTTTTTATATTTCCTCATCTCCATACCCTGACAACGCCGACAACGCTGACAACACCGACAACACCGACAACACCGACAATCTGACAATCTGACAAGCCCACGCAGCGAATTCCAACCATGTCAATTGTCCGAAGCAGCAAGTATCGCCATGTCTTCGGCACGGCGTTTAAGCGCGAAGAGTGCTACGAGAACCTCCGCGTATCCATCTCAGCCTGGGACACAAACTTCGTGACGGCCAACCCCAAGTACCTATGCTTAAACTGGAATGCCGGCGGCGGCGGAGCCTTCATAGTGATTCCGCACGACCAAGCAGGCAAGCTACGCGGCGACTTCCCACTATTCAGCGCGCACGCCGGGGCCGTGCTGGACACGGCATTCTCGCCGTTCGACGATGACATTGTGGCGTCCGGCGCCGAGGACCATAAGGCGATGGTCTGGCGCGTGCCGCGCGGGCTTGCGGAGCGCGAGGAGGACGTGACTGAGCCCATTGCAGTGCTGGGCGGCCATGGGCGCAAGGTCGGGCATGTGGCGTGGAACCCGGTTGCGCGCGATGTCCTGGCCGTGTCGAGCTCCGACCACACCGTGCGTATCTGGGACGTCGAGAGGCAGGCGGTCGGCGTTCTGCTGGAGGGCTTCAAGGACACGGTGCTGTCCATTGCCTGGTCGCCCAATGGCAGCCAGCTGGCCGTAGCGTGCCGCGACAAGGTCCTGCGCATCTTCGATGCGCGTTCGGGCCAGTGCCTGCAGCAGGGCCAGAGCCACCTGGGAGTCAAGGGCTCGCGTGTCGTTTGGGTTTCGCCCACGCGGCTGGTCACCACGGGGTTCTCGCGCACCAGCGATCGGCAGCTGAACTTGTGGGACAGCCAGAGTCTCAGCAAACCACTCCTGACGCGCAACATCGACATGTCCGCCGGCATGCTCATTCCGTTCTTCGACGTCTGCACGCAAATGCTGTACGTTGGCGGGAAAGGAGACGGCAACATACGGTACTACGAGTTCGCCGACGATACACTGTACGAGCTGGCGACGTATTCCTCGACGGAGCCGCAGAGGGGCCTGGGTGTTATGCCTAAGCGGGGCGTGGATGTCGTTCGGTGCGAGGTCATGCGCTTCTTCAAGGTCGTCGGCAACTCGACGGTCGAGCCGATTTCGTTCAAGGTACCGAGGAAGGCAGAGTCGTTCCAGGCTGATATTTACCCGCCGGCGCATGCTGGCGTGCCGGCTCTGAGCGCCGAGGAGTTCTTTGCTGGGAAGGACGCGGAGCCGTTGCTTGTGGATATGGAGTTGCTCTATGAGAGTGGCCCGCTGGTTGTCGGCGAGAGCGCTGGCGGCAGGCCTGTGCCGGTGGTGTCTGCGCCTGCCCCAGCGGCGGTCCCAGCGGCGGTCCCAGCGGCGGTCCCAGCGGCGGTCCCAGCGGCGGTCCCAGCGGCGGTCCCAGCGGCGGTCCCAGCGGCGGTCCCAGCGCCCGTTCCTGCACCGGCGTCTGCCTCTGTTCCTGTGGCCGTTAGGGAGCCGACCAGGGAGCCGACCAGGGAGCCGGCCAGGGAGCCCTCTCCCTCCTCCGTCGCCCGCTCCTCCGCACCCACGCCTTCCTCGCCCCGCCAGCAGGCCACCGACCAGTCGCAGCTTCACGCCATCACAGCCGAGCTCGACGCGCTCCGCGCCACCAACCAGCAGCTCCACGCCGAGCTCGCCCAGGCCAAGGCATCCTACCAGGCGCACCAAAAGGACCTGGCCAACGCGCAAAGCCAGGTGGCGCAGATCCAATCGGAACACGCCCAGGCGACACGGGCCCACGCACGTGCACTTGAGCAGCAGAAGCAGGCGGCAGCGACGGAGCTGGTGGGCATTACGCAGCAGCTTTCGGAGGCTGAGACGCAGGCTGGCGAGCTTAGGGGCGCTGTTGAGGAGCGCCGTGGGGAGGCTGAGGAGCTTCGGGCGCTGGCTAAGGGCCTGGAGGCGGAGGCCGTGGATCTGCGGCGGCGGCTGGAGGAGGCTGCGGCAGAGGCCGAGGGGAGAGAGAGCGAGACTACGAAGTTGAGGAAGGAGTTGGCGGCTGCTATTGGGGCAGCCAATTCGCTGGCTGTGGCTGCTGAAAAGGCGGCCGACTGCATGTAAACCCAAACCTTTTGTTTTTTCCCCACTTTTTTCGCTTTCGTTTTTTGCTTTTTTTTGTCCTTCTATTTTTATTGCGTATGCTCCAAATTTAGGTGGCATACATGTGATATCTAATCATAGTGCCATTATGCATAAAGGGAAGAAGATATCGACGATGGAGGTTTTTCATTTGCCCACTTTCCAAAAGCGGTCTGAGTTTTTTTTTGATTGTTTCATTTTAGCGCGAAACGTTTGGAAAATAAAAGCTGTCCTCATTTTTGCCTTTTATTTTTCTGTTCACTTTTTATATTATATTATTTTGCATTACTTTATATAGGACGAAATTGAAGAGAGAAAAAGCTTTTGACTCCCCTCCCCCATCACCCCCCTTTTTTTCTTCACCTGAACTCTTTTTTCCACACTTTATTAATATATTTACTGAATTCCACAATGGTCGCGACAGCCACAAAAAGTGGAAACCCGAGGGCAACTGCAAAAGCCAAGGCCTCAAAGCCGTCCAAAACGTCCTCTTCAAAACCCACCACCACCACCACCACCACTAAAACGACAGCAGCAGCAGCAGCGGGCCTTCTCAAGCCCTTCATACCCAGACACGAGTCCAGCTCGGCATACACAAACCAGCAGCAGCCAGCATCGGACCCAGGCCTAGTAACCCCTCGCAACACGTATATTCTGGACCAACATCAATACTCACCGCTCCTGGACCATTCATCGCCCGCGTGGTCAATGAGCTCAATGAGCAATAACGGCGACCTGACGTTGGCGCACAGTCTAAGCCCCGTTGATTGTTCTAATACAACAACGGCTGCATCAGCTGCTGCTGCCGCCGCGGCCGCTGCTGCTGCTGCTGTTGCGATGAATGGAGGGGAATGGCTTGGTTCTCAGATGTTTCCCACATTGGCTTCCGTGTTTGGCTCTGGTGAGCTTTGCGATAT